AAGCTCCTGCTCATTTATCTTGCTCTGCTCCCTTGCAGGCACCATGAATGAACACCCAGCCAGACAGAACTATGTGCCCTTCTCCGGGCCCAGGCCAAGTTCTCCTGCCCTGCGCTTGCCGTATATCTCCTGCCCTGCGCTATCCTGTAAAATTATGAAATAATGGCATTTCCTTATATGACAAAATTTAAAGACAAAGCATGGTTCAGCCAGGACTGGGATGACCTGAAAGATGCATGTGTTGTACTGAAAGTCATTATTTATATTTGAATCGTGGATGATTTTTGTTTTATATTAGATTTTATGTTTAATGATAGAAAAGATTGGTGTGGTCCAACTTGTGGAAGATAGAGAGGAAGAGAGTTGCTCGATCTGGATCATATAACTTTCTAATAAACAGAGCTGAGATGAGACTGCGGGTTTTCAATCTCTCTTCCATCATATCACACAGACTTTCCAATTATAAAACAAAACAAAGTATAGTAAACCATAGGCAGGATAATTTTATTCTCAATGTTGGGTTTATGAAGTGTTAACATGTGACAAACACATGGTTCATTTTTCTTTGCCTCTTCTGGATGGGTCCAGTCTTTCTCCCCTCTCATCCCAACTTGGCTTTTTATATGGTACTTCATTGCAAGTAAGGCAATAGATGAATAAACCATAGATAGATAAACGGTGTCGGATAGGTGCCTGCATCTTTTCAAGAAATGTTCCCTGTTAGCCCTGTCGACTGTGACCTTGTCTTTGAAAAAGGAACAAGTATATGACTGATTTCAACTTTAGATCTCTGGCCACACAGATTTAGGAAAAAATGCAATTCCAACTTGTATCACGTTCCGTTTATTGAAACACTTGAGTGTATAAATGTGAATAAAGTCTAACTTCCAGCACACACATAAGATTTATGCATAGTTTTGTGGCCAAGCTGCTTTTTTGTGTTATAGGTGCTTATATCTTACTTTAGCCCAGTTCCTTGTGCATAACAGACACTAAAAAGT